TGGGGTGCAAACATCCCTAAAGGCTGTGGTCCATCAGACCCAGCGCAGCCATGCACTGTGGGACCACCTGTGCTCATAGAATGGCTTGGGTTGCATCCACTACAGAATGCCTTGGGTGGGAAGGGTCCTGAAAGATCATAGGACTGTAGAATGCCTTGGGTGGGAAGGGTCCTGAAAGATCCTAGAACCATGGAACTGTTGGGTTGGAAGGGACCTCATAGCCTCCCCAGGCCCACCCTTCTTATGAGCTGGGTGCCCCCACAACTCAAGCTGCCCAGAGCCCCATCCATGACTCTGGGCACCTCCAGGGATGGAACACCCACAGTCCCACATAAGGCAAGACCCATCCTTCTTGGAAATAGAAGATCCCAATGATCCCACATCCTCCAAACGCTTCTCAGCAATGAAAGGAACAGGGTGGGGGTGGTGCCCACCAGTGGGCGCACAGCCTGGGGAGGGGCACTGACCCAAACCCTGACCCCCATGCAGGGCAGGAACCGTCCTGGGTACCTGCAGAAGCTCTTTGAGGAGACGGATCTGAATAAGGACAAGGAGCTGACGTTTGAGGAGTTCACCATCGTGCTGGCCAAGGTGACCGATGACGCGCATCGCATCATCCATAAGGATGACAGATGTAAGCCAGACAGCAACTAAGCCACCCCACACCATGGAGCCGGGCCCCGGGGAAGGACCTGGAGAGGTTTGCATGTAGGAATGGGGCTCTGGCTGTGTTCTGCCCACTTGGGTCACCCATAAGATAATAAAGCATTGCCTGAACCTCCCTGAGTCCTTCCTATCTCTGTGCTCCCTTCTCAGGGTTGGGGGAGTAGGGACCATTTGTGGGAGAAGTGTTTGCCCGAGTGAAGGACCCCAAAAACCCATGGAGGAAGGGGCTTGTGACAGCTGTGGTGGGTGGGCACCAGTTGGGTCACTCATTGTCTGCCCAAGGCAAAAGGGGGAAAAAACCCAGAGTGTGAATCCAGGGGGAAAAAAAACACACAGAGAATGCGTAAGAGCACATTCTGTACACACAGCTTCCACTCCACGGGAAAGTCAGAGATTTTAGATTTTCTTTCTGCTGGAGCAACACAGGGCACAGCACTGGGGGCATCTGTGCTCCAGCCCCCTGCCCACCAGTGACACCCAGAGAGGTTCGCCACCTCCAGAAGCATTTGGAGATCCCTGAAGAAGAGAGTCCACCACTTCTCTGCGCAGCCCATCCCAGTACTCTGTCACCACGGGATGAAAGAGTCCTTCCCACCACTTGCACCAACCCCTGTGTCTCAATTTGCCTCCTGTCCTGGCACTGGGCACTGCTGGGAAGAGGCTGGTGATGCTTGCGGTTAAGGTTAGAGCCAAGGGGCTCAGGGTTAGGGTTAATGTTAGGGTTAGAGCCAGGGGGCTAAGGGTTAGGGTTAATGTTAGGGATAGGATTTGGGCTGGGGGGCTCAGGGCAGCAGCTGGATGCTCATTTGTGCCCCACAGGCAGCAGCAATGAGCCATCAGAGCAGCTGTAGCTGTGGGCATCTCAGACAGACCCAGCCCCCACCACAGACCCCTTCCTGCTCAGGGGCTCTAGAACGTCTTGAGTTGGAAGGGTCCTTAAAGATCTGCCTTGTTCAGTGCATCCCCCTGATTTCACCACCCTAAAACCACATCTAGCAACCAGGACCTACTTCCTTCCCAATCTCATGCTAAACCTTCCAAGAAATGCAGCAGCACGAACCCCGCCTTGCAAGCCCTTCTCTTCTGCTCATAAATGTATTTGGAAAGCTCTTCAGCAAACACTGCTAAGCACGGGGTGCCCAGTCAGGGCTCTGTTCCTGCAGGCACTGCTGGTCCTGCTCACCCTGAACCAGCTGCTCTGTGCTGTGTGCTGCCCGCTCCCACTCCCTGCCCCGCAGCAATGCTTGCCCAACGCTGCAGCCTCAGGGTTGGGATTGCAGCTCACCATGGCACAGTGCATGGGTGCGACCGGGCTGGGAGGCTCTGCTGCACAGACAGACCTGTTGAGCCCAGGGGGGCGATGTGCCATCACCTTCCTGGGACCCCAGATTGGTACCTGGGCTCGTGCTAAGTGCTGCACTGAGTGACTGAATGGCAGAAGATGCTCTGGGGTATCGTTGCTGCTGCCTGGTGGGCACAACCAAGCATTCAGCTGCTGCACTGAGCCCCTCGGCCCAAACCCTAACCTTAACCCCAACCCTAACCCTGAGCCCACCAGCTCTAACCCTAACCATAACCCTAGCCCTAACCTTGAACCCCCTGGCCCTAAACCTAATCCTAATCTTAACTCTAATTCTGAGCCCCCTGACCCCAACTCTAACCCTAACAATAACCCTAACAATAACCCTAACCTTAACCCTAACCCTGAGCCCCCTAACCCTAACCTTAACCCTAACCCCAACCTTGAACCCCCCAGCCCTAACCGTAATGCTAAT